GCTGTTAATGATGCTATTATCGCTATTGATAATTCCATGACAGGTGTGGGCCGTCTTTATGTTAAAGTATCCACTATGGTTATTCCTGATACTCATTCTGACTGGTCAAGGGGTAACATTTGGAGATCTCCGTTTCTGACCGATATGAACCCATTCCAGCAACAACAATTTATTTCACGACATTTTTAGCCTCCTTATGTAACCAACTGTCGAACTTCTCGTATAAGATCTTCTCGGAGAGATGCCACAAAAAGAGCAAAGTAAGCCTATAATTGTAAAACAATAGATTTAGATTTAATTTTAAATCATGTTTTTTTTGTTATAATTGATATAAACGACATGGCGGTAAATGGACAAGGTGGAAATGGCCAAACTTTTCGTGTTTGAATGTTGAATTCACTAAATATTTGAACTATTCGTTTTTAATGCGCAAGTAAAAAGTAGGAAATGTAGAAAAAACAAAATGAAAGTGTAAGAGTAAGAAACTAAAATTTAAGATGTCATCACTAAGCGTCGTGTTATCAGTTATGAGAATTCATTGAGGCTAAATACTCTGAAAAAAGACGAGGAGATTCTATACTCAGAATCGTACATATTCATTTAGACATTCAAAGAATTAGCTGCCTGTTTTTCTACTTGTTCCCCTTGTCCCAGGAAAGCACTGGCGGTGGTATATCCGTAGTTTGCTTGAATTATGAAAACTGCTTGTCCGTAAAAATATTACCGTAAACAATGAGGGCATTAGTTACATGAAACGTCCTACGTGATTTTATGAATATGAGCTTAACGCAAAGACTATTTGAAATCCTCTCATTTGCATCATTTCGGAAACGAACTGCTCGAGCTACCGTCCAGTCCAACCTGGTGTCGAGCGGTTGCTACTATGGTTCAGAAGTGCATCTGTTTATACCGCTCTGTTTTACGTTTCTTGCTGCCTCAAGTGCAAAGCGTCCATTTTCAATGAAGACAGCAATGTCAGTAAAAGCTACCATCTTCACGGAAGTGTTCAGAACAACTATATCGAGGCGCAGTGTGGAGTTAGTGTGATGTTGGCCGGGGGGAATGCTGGTCGATGCAAATTTCAATACGTGCACACCCCCGGAATGCTGCAACGATTCTGATTTGCATACTGTTCGTTCTGTCGTTTATGTTCTCTTGACCGTGTTTTGTCATGTCATTCAGGTACTGAGCATGCGGGGTAGAGTTTCTACCTATTACACACACTCTATGACATGTCTTAAAGGTTTTTGGCATATCCATGCAGTTCCAAAGCGTTGTACCGTCTGGTGGATCGCAGGAGTTGGATTTAAGGTACCTATTGAAGTGCAGTGGTTTTCGCTAAACGACAAATGAACGAGAACCAGAGGTCTTATGGATTTAATTAAAACATTCAAGGAAAATATTTCAGATGGATAGATCAAATCTTGTTCGCAGCCGTTTTCTGACCTCTGATACGTTTTGTTCCGCATATGCGCAATTTGCAAATTGCCACCGCTGATTATCAGTTGTTCATTAATATTATGTTCATGTTTAGTGTTGATTTTTTTTCTGAAGAATGATTTATATTTCATTGGCACTAATCGCGGCAACTTGGGCTTGTACGATAGTGACTCGAGGTAATGAACTGTTCTTTCAGCCGGTTGAGCGCTACGTTCTCACTGATTTTCTCGCTCGCGATGGAGACAAATGACGTTGTTTTCCTTGTTCTGGCATCTATTGTCATAAGTTTAATGATCTGGCTCGTTGCAGACATCTTCTTTTACCGTCTGGATTTAAGGCGATTGAAACCGATGACAACGTCTGATCCGCGACCATCTGTCTTCAGACGATCGTTGCTGAGAAAAATTCTTCAAAGTCTATCACTCTGATTCGAAAAGCGACAGCGAGTGACGGATCTTCACTTATTAAGGATAAATATTCTACGGAAAGCGACAGATTGAGAGCAGGAACGACAAAGGCAGAAATTTTTAGCAATTCACTTTGGGAAACCATGGCGGACCGACTGACCCAATCTGAACCCCGTTCTCCATGTTCATTTCAAACAAACCACTCGACTTCCTAAAAATTTTGCTCACTCAGGGTCTACTGCCAACGCATCTCCAGCTGGCAGTCACTGTCAACCTTGCAGAGGAACCGATTGCCTCGTGAACGAGCAATCGCCTTCAAAACTAAAAAATATGTCAAGCCGCAGGGATAGATGATCCGGGTTCTAGCAAAGAAACGTCCAACTTACTGAAATAAACATGAACATGGAAGAATACGCCGGCATGATTAGATAATTAAATTACGTTGCCAGCTATGGAATCACAAAACGAATAAAATAGAATGCTGGAGGATCGTCAACGTGCATTTATGGCGCAGCAAAAAATTAAAAGGAAACCTTCTAAAAGATTAAAATTAAGAGACTAATATTGTAAAAATCTTAAAAGAACAATCATAGCAAACCAGAAAATTTCGGTGACAATGAATCTGAAAGAA